AATGCCTATGTATCTCACAGCTCATATTCTGTATTTCTTATGTTTAGGGGAGGCTACATCCATGGTTTAAGACACAACAGCTCAGCATTCTGTCTCTTGATAAAACAGTAATTCTGAATGAAAATCTAGATCCAGGTAAGTTACAAAGAAAAGATACAGGCAATCTGTAACATGTCTTTGCATTCCTGTAGCTATGAGCAGCTGGCCACAAGGGGTGCTCCATAAACCACCCGCCCAACTGAATCCAGGAACAAACTCTCTGGGAGCCCTGGACACACAGCTGATGGCTGCACTACTGTCCCCAAATGTGCAATTCCTGGCTTTGCTTGATTTTAAACACACTACATTCGTATATGTTTGGTAGGCAATTATAGCTCATGTTTGTTACATAAATTATTTTTACATTGTTATAATGAATATAATCATAGACATTATAAAATGAAGTCGGCCAGTACATTCCTAATGCACTTTATCAAGGCTGTTGCTAGTCAAAGAAGAAGAAATTCAGGAAGTATGCCTTTAAAAAGCCCCTCAAGATTAAGGGCAAGGTCTGAATGATGCTGTGCTCCCAGTACCCCCAGAAGCTGGCAGAGAGGGAGCACAAACAACTGTCAAAAGGGGCTTAAGCATCTACGCACACTGCGCTGCAAATCGTACGTTTAAAAGACACTGGCCAATAGAGGGCAGGCAAGATCTAATTATGCATTAAAATCATAAACTATAATACGCTATGAAGGAAGGGAGGCCACTCTTTAAAATTTCACACATATCTAGAATCCTTTTGATGTATTTACATAAATTAAAGTTATTAACATTAACCAATCATCCTTTTACCCTCCTTGTATTATTTCTAATTAAGCAATTCAAACCCTAATAAAACCTTAGAGTGAAAAAATTACTTTTTCAAATGTTTTACAATATTTAGAACCACACTTCAAAGAGAGAACATCCCAAATACCGAGTCACATTCAGTCTGGGACATGTACGCAGTCTGCTAAGAAATAAATTATAGTCTTGGTTAATTATGGAGGATTAGATCCAGTCGTATCAAAATTTTTATGCTCATGTATCTTTTGTAATGTGGGCAAGAGCAGTAAAACCGATTATAAACTAATAGTTTTAGTCTTATCTTAGTGGTCACCAGACTAATTTTATTTTATTCTAAAAAATCTCTCACATCCACCTTTTCATTTCATCATCATTGTGAAAATCACAACTTCCCCAAACCAAGTTTTCTTGTTTTGTTTTCATTTCCCTTTGTATGAAATACCCTTTTCTACTGCTTCACCTTCAGTCTGTGCGTCTTTCCATCCAAGCGAATCTCTCGCAGGCAGCACATGTAAGGTCTTGTTTTCCTCTTAGGTCAGCTGCCCTGTGTCTTTTTTCTTTTTTTTAATTTTTATTTTTGTTTAAAATATTACAGATGTCCCTTTTTCTCCCCAATGACCCATTCCACCCCGTCCCACCCCCCTCCCCGGGCCCTCTCCCTACCATTGTCCGTGTCCTTGGGTTGTGCGTATATACATATAAATTTGCCCTGTGTCTTTTGATTGGAGTGTTTAACCCATTTACATTTAAAGTAATTGCTGACATATGTAAGTTGTTACTGCCATTTTGTTATCACATTTTTATCTTTTTCTTCTTCCTCTTAAAAAAGCCTAACATTTCTTGTGCCAGTGGTCTGGGGGTGATGAACCCCATTAGCTCTTTCTGGTCCTCATTTTTGGGTGTTTCTCCCTGTCGCTCTGACTGGTGCTTTCTGCTGCTGTATGTTTTAAATCGTCGATTCCATCCTCAGCTTCGCTGAATCTACTGCCGATTCCTCCCAGCATACTCTTCATTTCAGTTAGCGTATCCTCAGTTCTGGCTGTTCTTCTTAATGTTTTCTGTTTCCACTTTACGTTTCCTGTGTGTTAAGTTCTCCCTGAGCTCGCCTACTCGTCCCCTAAGTTCCTCGAGCATCCTGATCAGCAGTGTGTTGAGCTCGGCCTCTAGTAAGGTCGTCTCCGTTTTGCTTGGTTCCTTTTCTGGAGTTTTGTTGTGTCCTTTCACTCGGGACATGTTTCTTTGTCTCCTCATTTTGGCAGCCTCCCTGTTTGTTTCTACGTACCAGGTACAGCTGCTGTGTTTCCCAGTCTTGGTAGAGTGGCCTAATGCAGTGCGTGTCCCATGGGGCCCAGTGACACAGCTTCCCCGGTCACCTGAGCAGGGTGCTCCAGGTGTGCCCCTCCTGTGGGTTGTGTGTGGCCTCCTGTTGTGGTTGAGCCTTGATTGGCTTTGGCATGTCAATGGAGGGGACTTACGCCAGGCCAATCGGCTGTGAGGACTGGCCATGAGCAATGTGGAGGGTCCGCTGTGCAGGGGCCGAGCCCATGAAGCAGAATTCACTTCAGCAGGATCAAGTTCCAGACGGGTCCGCCCCTTGAGAGTGTTGCTCCTGGAAGTGGTGGAGTGGTGCTTCAATATGATCAGAAGCTGTCCGCTGGTTGCACTTTCTCTGGGGCCTCCCAGGAGGTGTGGGCCAAGTTCAGATGCTGCTTGTGCCCTGGCTGGGGCCACCTAACATGAGCCACAAAGCGATCTGTAGACGGCTTCCTCTAGTGCTGGGCTTGGGGATGCTTGGTAAGAGGTACAGGGCACGCTGAGACCAGATGCTGCTTGAGGGGTTTGTGTACCTTTGAGGGATTTTAGGAAAGTCCACAGCGTGAGCCAAGACTGGCCATTCATAGGGGAAAGCCACTGGAAACAGCTTGGGTGGGCCTGCAAACTGAGTGGGGGCGGGGTCTCAGGGAATCACCAGGACCGGGCTGTTACAGCCAGGCTGATGGAGACTCAGGTACAGCGCCCACCTGTGCCTGTAAGGGGAGGGCTCAGCAAAGGAACAATGGCTCTGCCAGCACTTCTGCCTGGGAGAAATCTGTCATTCCAGACCTTGCTGGACAATTCAGTTCCTCCTCATATATTCCTGGCACCTTTCTAGCAGCTTCCCTGGCACTGGAGCTCAGAGGGAGTGAGTTCGAGTTTGTACACCAGCCCTTTAAGAGGAGGCCCTGGGACTCCAGCAGCCTCCGCCTCCCTCACCCACCATCCCCACTGGTTTTCACAGCCAGAAGTTACCGGGACTCCTCTTCCTGGCACCGGAACCTCAGGCTGGGGGCCTGGTGTGGGGCTGGGGCCCCTCGCTCCTCGGGGGGACTCTGCATCCAACACATTCCTCCCGATTCTGAACTGCCGCACGTGGGTGTGGGACCAGCTCGTTCCGCACCTCTGCCCCCCTACCCCTCTCCACGGGGCTTCTTTACATACAGGACTTCTGCTCAGGTAGTCTCCAGGGTTGTCTGTAGATTCGTTGTTATTTGATGTGGTGGTGGGAGGAGGTGAGCACAGCATCATCTACTCTCCATCCTGACTGGGAGCCCCGGGTCTCCTCTCCTTTATTTCCAACCTCTCCCTTTCTCTTAGTTCTTTTCTGTAGCATATAAAATGTCCAAATTTCTCCCAGTATAAGAATGGCATCATGAGCCCCCCTTCTCTACAGCAGGAGCCTCGGCTTTGTGCTCACACACGGGGTTGAGCCCCGGGAGCTCCGCCTCGCGGCCTCACGCGCATCTCAAATGCGGCGCGTTCACATCAGCTCAGAATCTCCCCACCCCCTCATCTGCTGCAGTTCCTGTTCCCCGTGCACGTGGATGTGCCTGACATCTACCAAACCGGAAGCCACCCCTGCCGCCCTGTCCTGAACGCCAGCCGACCCTGTCCTGTTCTGTCACAGAATCACCTAAGATGGGTCTCAGCCTTCCTCACCGACACCTCCTTCAGAGCCACCCAACTGCTGTCCTCGCCTCTAGGCCCATTCGCATTCAGTCCATTCTCCAAAAATCCACTAGAGTAACTTCTGTTTAACAGGAAAGTCTTTTCTTCCATCTCTGCCTCCTTTACTTCATTTCTGGCCCCTTCTCGGACTCCACTCCACAAGCAGCCACACAGGGCTCTCTGAAGTCCCCACGTGCACCCGCCCTTGCGTCTACAACATCCCTCCGCCTGCAAGACATGAACCTGGTGGATTCCTACTCATCCTTCTGAATTTTACCCCAGTGTTACCTGCTCTGATAGTTATAAAACATGTCTACAAATATTTATCACACCTCCCTTCAAAGCGTGGACTTGCCCTGGCTGGTTTGGCTCAGTGGTTAGAGCATCAGCCCACTGACTGAAGGGTCCCGGGTTCGATTCCAGCCAAGGGCATGTACCTTGGTTGCAGACTCGATCCCCAGCCCTGGTTGGGGTGCATGCGTGAGGCAATGAATCGATGTGTCTCTTTCACATCGATGTTTCTATCTCTCTCCCTCCCTTCCACTCTCTCTGTAAAGCAATAGAAAAAATATCCTCCAGTGAGGATTTAAAAAAAAGGTGTGGGCATGAGAGTGGGCTGAAGTTCGTGACTCGCTTCGAACACAGAACATGGTAGAAGGGAGTGGGGCAGGCAAGGGGGCCTCACACACTGTCTCAGGTTATCACCTGGGCAAGGCCAGCTGCCAGGGGAAGCACTCAGCATCCCTCGGAGGAGGGGGACATGGCGAGGAACTGAGGCCTCCTGCCACAGCTGGGACACTGAGTCCTTTTGGCAACAATTCCACAAGGAAATTCCAGCCCCCTTGAGTCTTCCGATGACAGCAGCCCTGACCAACCTAACAGGAACCTGAAGAGAGACCGTGATCCAGAACCTGACGACTCTGCAAACTTAAACCCCAGACACTGAGATAACAGATGCTCACTGTTTTCAGCCATTAAGTTTTATGGGGGAATTTGTTACACAGCAACAGGTAACTAACAGGACCCCTCTACAAAGGCATCTCTGACCCTCCAAGGTGAGTTAGGCCTCTGCACCTGACACTGAGCAGTAATGCCTGCGCCCCACACAGCGGTGAGGACCGTCTACCTCCCCACCCACCCTGACAGCTACCTGTGGGCAAACAGTGTTTCATTCATTTCTGAATCCCCAGAACTAGACACAAAAGATGCTCACTAACTATGAACTGAAATAAAAAGAAAACAAGGAAAATTTGAAATATAAAAGCAGCATAAAACCAAAAACTAAATTTAGTAAATATCAGCTCCTTCTCTCTTCTTGAAGAAGTAGGTGACTACACACTGTCCCACAGGTGTGCTAAGAAGATGAAATTAAGGTGACAAATAGTATAAAATGTCACACGTCAAAAGAATAATCTTATCCAGCATCATCTTGGAATAAAGTCGCCCTAAACGTGAACATAACAGATGTAAATGACAGTTTATTTTCTCAGCTGAAAAGGCCTTTAAAATACACTCAGTACTGACTATTTTTTTCTAGAATATACTACACTTTTTTTTATACAGGGTAAAATGTACTCCCCTTCTTGGATACTGACTATTTTTTAAATGCATTTCTTTTGTTTGAGTTGGTCTTGCAAATAGAGCATGGAATATAAAGCAATGGCACACACTGAAGTGTCACTGTCCAGGCCAGCCGCTGTGGGTCGGCCTCTGGCACCTTTCCCGAGGATCACTGCTACCATCGTCTGCCTCTGCACACTCAGTGCCTGGGCACGTGCAGGGACTCAGATGTCCTTTTTATAACTCAAATAGGCCATGCTCTCCACACAGTTCAGAGAGTCACTAGTTTACCTAAAAAAGATACATTTGAGGCTGTTTCCTATCAGCACCTCGGTAACAGCTGCATAGTTGATGGTAAGAATGCACCATAATATTTCTAAGCAGCTCCCATCCCAAAGCTTTACCTAGTCTCTGGGTTTTTGTTGTGTGTGTGTGTGTATGCAAGACAGAGAGAGAGACGTGCTGGCAGCTGAAACACAGAGGCATACAGGTCAGCTCTCTCGTGTGATTCTGCTGGGCTGTGTCTCTGTTGCTCTGTTTTGTTTTGTTTTATCCTGATCACCAAATGCATCTCCCCACTTCTCATCCCTGCCCTTTTCACTCTAATGTGTGTGGTGTTTTCCTTGGATATGTATTTTTATAAGCTGTAAAATATTATTTAGTGTGTATGTATTTAGGAATGATATTAACGGTATTATGTTATTGCTCAATTCCAAGCCTCATGGTCACTCTTTCTGAATTGCTGCGTTTTTTAAGTATTTTATCATTTTTTCTAATTTATTTTCAAGAAATAGACATACACGATGCCCCCAGCCTTCCTGATCACAGACAATGCTGTAATGAACACGTTTGCATACACCCTGGACTGAGCTACACACCTGTTTCCACAGCCAAGTGCAACATTGCTGGGCCAGACTCATGGGCACTACGTATTACAAACTTCCCGCTCATCAGCCTTGCCAGGTTATAAATCTCTGCCCAAAGCACCCGGGTTCCTGTTTTATCACATCCTTGTCAGCATCTGGTATCATACAGTTCTCTAATCATTTTAATTTGTTGACTATAACGTGGTAATTATTTTACTTTGTATTTCTCTGATGATTAGGGATATCTGAAGTATTTTCATATGTTTTCAACCTATGAAGCTTTCCTTCCTGTTCATATGTATTGCCTATTTGTTTTATTAATTGAAATATAATTGGCAATTAACATTATATTAGTGTACAATGTAATGATCTGATATTTGTATATACTGCAAAATGATCACTATAATAAGTCTAGTTAACATCCATCACCACACAGTTGCAATTTGTTTTTCTTGTGATGAGAACTTTTAAGATCTATTCTCTTAGCCACTTTCAAATATAGAGTATTATTAACTACAGTCACTGTGATGTGCATTACATTAATGTCTCTCTCTCCCTCTCCCTTCCTCTCTCTCTCTCTCTCTAAAAATCAATAAAAACATATCCTCAGGTGAGGATTTAAAAATAAGTCCATTTATTCAACACATATTTATTGAGTGCCTACTCTAATGTGTTTTCCTTAAAGAAAAATATTGCACTAATTAATACTGCCTGCATGAGTGAGTATTAATAATGAAGGTTTCTAAAACTAGCTCCCACTACAATTTACTCCCATAAATATCTAAACCAGCTCTTCTGAGGAACCACTCTGGAGCAGGGGTGGGGCGATGTCAGAATCAGGCGGGTAAGTGGGCACCTTCTACTCCTGGGGAAGGTGCCCATTTCTTCCTGAGAACCTCGGTGGTCACGGCCACTCTACTTGAGAAGGTTCTCACCCTTCAGGGTCCTTCCGGAGGAAAGTGCTCTAAACTGCACTCTGCATAGAAATCACAGCCTAAAGCCCCTGTCTGTGCTTCCCCTTCACTCGCTTATTTGGCCTTAAAAACTTCTCCTGATTTTGCAAGCAGGGGAGCAAGGGAGTCTGAGTACCGTGGTCCTGGTCCGGCGCCTCCAGGCTGTAGCCGTAGCCCAGCAGCGTGCGCACAGCCTCTCGGAGGCTGTCCTTGTTGGACTTCTTGGTTCGGTCGTCGAGAAGGGTGTACGGAACCAGGCGAGGGTTTCTCCTGTTCTTCACATCCTACGGGAAGGAAAAGGTGCGTCATCAAAGTAACGCCAAGGACTTTTGGAAGTGTGACAGTCCATCCCACAAAATCAAAACAGAGCAAGATGCAAAGCCCCTGAGGGTAAAAGCCGCCCTTCCCAGTCCCTTTGTCCTCTGGTGACAGAAGCTACCTAACACCACCAACACCAAAGACTGAATCAAATGAATGGCCGCATCAATTTAAAGGCAGCCTTCTCCTGGCAAAGGGAAGGTAAAAATAACCAGAGCAGTAACAAAGGAAGCCCACCACCGGCACAGCTACAGCAGTGGGCTGACTCGGAGAACGTGTAATTTCCCACACAGTTGACTGGCAAGTCTTGGTTTTGAGACAAGTCAAATTAGCACTGGTCAGTGGCTGAGTCACGAGACCACGCTGCTGCCCCTTCTCAAGAGCAAACCCAGATGTTACAGAAGGCCATCCTACGACCGCAAATAGCTTTAAAATAGGTATGAAGTTTAATCTACCAACCAGTGAAATCAGGTAATTCCGGAGTGCAGACTTAACTACAAACTATTATAAAAGAGGCTCCAAGTCCAAAATGTGGTTAAAATTGCATTAACAAAGCAGGAAGACTGGCTCTCATACTGTCTTGGGGAAAGGATGCTTAACTTTAGAGTAAGAACAAACCTTACAGTCATGGGGGGTGGAGAGGCACCTGGGCTGCAGGTCCTCAGGGCACAGCCACCCAGGGACCCACTTCCCTCTGCTCACTCACAGAGACCATGGTGCCCCCTCTGTTAGACCTCATGCAGCCCCAGGGGCACACTCTACTCCATTTACAGGGTGTAAAGAGCAGTGGGAGGCCGGGACACATGCAACCCCTCCTGCCAAACAAGCCACATGGCCGGGTGGGCGGGAGCAAGGAAAGCTGCTCCTCCTCTCTGCTCCCTCCTCTTGAGACCTGCTCTGAACACCTCACCTAATGCAGGAGCACCTGTCACATCTGGAGGCAGGATCAGAGGGCTCCCTTTTGGGGGCACCATTCCAAAGCTGCTTGAGATAAACCAGCTGCGTGAACAGTGCTTCTAACTTCCAGACAGCACCCAGCACCCTCCCTCTCAACATGGTTCCCCCCAAGCATGGTTTCCCACATGGAAGCTGAAGAGTCTGAGGAATCACCCTCTGGGAGAGGGTGCTGGGAGCCTGGGTGATAACAGCAGCTCTGGGGCTCGGGCTCCTGCCTGCTCCTGGTTGAAATCAAGGTGCTAGAGGCAGAGGAGGGAACAGGTCCACTGCTCTCGGAGTCACAGTCTGACCCAGAGCACAGCAAGGAGCAGGTGTGGGAAGCAAAGACAACACTCAGAGGGTCCAGCCAGGGTGTGCTGTGTCCCGGGGAGCCAGGCGAGCCTGCTGGGCAGTGGGGAGGGAGCTGGGGGAGAAAGGGTGCAATGAGGGCCTCTCACAGCCTGTCACCCTGTGAGGCGGGGGGACCCCCATAGGAAGGAGCACCCCAGGACAAGATAGCCACAGGAAACCCTGGCTTTTCTGAAGAGCCATGGGGTAGACAAGGTCAGTAGAGAACCAACTAGAGCCTCCCCTCTGCACACAAGGCTCAGGACACCACCCCCCCCGGCAGCAACCCCCACTCTGTCTCACACACACACACACACACACACCAATTAGTGCTGACATTCTCATCAGGTACAGCCAGTTTAATTCAACGTAAGAACATCCTCTCATTTTATGAGGTAGAGCAAGGCTACTCAGCTATTCTGTAGCCCCCAAATGACAAAGTCCATGGCCTGGAAGGATCAGAAATCCATTTCTCAAAGCAGCGTTAGGCTTCCTCTTGCCCTATAGTCTGAGTGTATAAGTGGCAATCCACTTTATTCCAGAGACACCGAGCCAAGGCCAATGCCACAAGCTGGCTAGAGGCCCTGCAGGACGCGGAGGCCAGGAGTCGGCTCTGGAGGCCCCAGCGGCTCCCCACGAGCTCTGCGCCCGAGTGTGCAGCGCTGGGTGAGCTGCTCTCTGGGGCTCCCTGCTGTGCCAACCAGGAGTAAAACTCACTCATGCTTCCTGGGACTGCGTGGCCTACAAAGGAAAACGCCTGCAGAAGTCCAGGCACCGCCACCAGTACCTACTACTAACAGTATTTGTTAGGTGCCTGGCACTGTTGTGGGTTAAACGATGGACGTACGAGGGAAACAGTGTCACAGAGAACTTAAGCAGCCTGCCCAACAAGGTCACATGGTCACTGAAGCAAGGCTGAGACCTGCTCTTAACCTGCTCTGTGCCGCCTCCATGTGCAGTCAGGGCTGAGAGCTCCCCCCAAGGCCTCAGAGACCTGTGACCTAACCCAGAAACCTCTGAAACTCCTTTTACTAAGCTTGACAAACACTCATTTGGTGGCAAAGAATGATCTGAATGGATTCAAGGCTGCTGACAGTCTTTTTTATGGCTCCTGGTATTATCCTACCTGCCACACCCAACAGGTGAGCCTCTGGGCTGCTGCCTGCGGAGGGTGCCAGGCAGGATTCAACACACCCTCATGTCACTCCTCTGAGAAGAGACAGGAACATCCTCACATCACCCTCACATCATGCTCTGGAAACTAGGGCACCTCTGGTTCTGAAATTCACCTGGCCAGGGGGCTCTGAATAAGGAATCCTATACCTCTTCTATTATTATTTTATCTCGGTCTCTCATATTTCAAAAATTTCTCCTAAAAATGCAGTCTGAGAGAGAAAACACCACAAAGCCACATTATACATCACTGTTCTGATAATCAGGCTAACACACAGGCTCGGTCACCCACTGGCCTCGGGCCTGGCACTGACCAGCTGCTCAAGTGCATTGGGCATCAAGGTATTTACATGACATGAGGTTTCAAAACATCATCACTTCGTCTCTCCTGCTACACACTATGCTACTTACCCCTCAGGAAACCGTAGCCTGCAGCGCCAATACGCCCTCGACCCCCCATACCTGCTGGATGCCGTAGGTCCAGCCCTGCCGGATCCGGTCCCGGGCCCACACGTTGTGAGCATTTTCTGCCAACTTGTCTACCATCGCTTCCTGAGAGGGCGTGAGTTTGATAAAGCTCAGGTCCATCGGGGCCGGCTTGTATCCACTTGTCAGCTGGTAACTACGGAGCAAAGCAAAACATACATGTAAATCCTGTAAGTCTTTGCATGGCCCCACCTATGTCCAAATGTTCCATGAACTGCAGTGGTCACCACTGGTCAGCAAGCCTGGCCCTGCCCACTCAGGCTATGGCTCTTAGGAAGAAAGACCGCACCAGCTTTATGCTTTTGATTTTTCACCAGTAAAACAGAAATGGGACAGCTCACTTCTCTCCCAAAGTTGAGAAGGAATTATCATTGTTTGTGTTCCTAATAGTGGGGGCTATAGTACAAATCAAATTACTGGTTATCGAGTGGAAGATCTGATGGATTTCTCAACTAAAGTTCTCATTCTCAACTTTTAAAAGTTATATTAATGTAATATTACTTAATAAAGCCGTGTATCCTTTCAGATACCAGCTGTTAATTATTCTATAGGAAAATACGAACACATTTACAGATTATTTCCCTATTGTCATTCCTAGGTACATAATTTAGGAAGCCCTAGATGACAGAGACCAGGAAACCATAACCATCCAAAACATCATGAAGGCTGGGTCTGTTAGGGACTCTCACCGGAGACTTTCTACTCTGAGCTGGAGAGAGAAGGTTCTCAATGACTATGAGTTTTAATCTTTTATAAGAAATATGAAATTGAAAATGTAAAATCTTCAACACACAAACTGTTTGGGCACTAGCACTGCGCTGCTCCACGCAGACACACAGTTGTCTCCTTTGTTTAACCACTGAGGCTGGTACACAGCCGATTTTACATGGCCTCTCTTTCTCAGTCACCTGCATTCCCTTAATCACCACGCCTGAGGTCAGGCCCAGTGTGACCCAGGTTTCTAAGTGCCTCGGTACTCTAACAGCGCCCAGCAAGCAGCAGCCTTCAGGCTACGTTTTTTGAAGGAATTAACTTCATTTACCAAGTAAGATAAGCATACAAGCCTGTTCATCTCAAAGATTATTTTTTTGCACAAAGGAAAATTCACCAGATAATTATGTTAAGTTAAAAAAACAAATTATCAGAACACGAGAAATCATTCTTTAAGGAAAATTAAGTCACCTTTTCTCCTCGAGTTGCTCTGGGCTCCTGTGGCACCAGGGTCAGGAAAGCGCCCTACAGCAGGAGGCCTGACTGCTTTTCCAGCTGCCCCAGAACTAGAACAGTGCCTGACCCATGGCAGCTGTCAGTAAAAACACCACGATACATCGATGTACAGCACACTAAATAACTTTAGGGCTGGATAAAGCTGACTTTACCTTAGCTACTCCTATTTCATTATAGGACTTCTCATGTTTTATAAGTCATTTATAGACAAAAATTTTAGAAAGAGTTTGTTTTAAGTAGGTTAGACTGGTCTGGGGCTATTTACTGCTTATATCGTACAGTTTACATTCACAAGCTAGATTCACAGACAGGGATTTTTGTTCTGCTTTAAATCAGAACTCTGCGTGTTGAGAAAAATAACAGTATTTTTCCTTGTTTTTCTTTAGTAAGGAAGCCACAAGGGATTTTTAACCACTCCTAAAAATCATTTTATTTTATTAAAACATTCTGATGTTTAACTAAATTGGCAAACTGCAAGCACAGCCTGCATACAAGTTCTCACTCAGTAACACTTTCTCAAGACAGAGCTCCCAGAGCATTTCAAATGCAGAGCTGGATATTTTATTTTTAAAAATAACTATTCTTGATACATACAAAAGAACATGCTTTAAAGCATTATAATAAAATGAACTCCGTTAATCCACCACCAAGGTAAGAATTAGAAGATTACTACCACCAGTGTATCTATCTGTGTGCTCCCCCCATCTCATACCCCTGTGGTGTGTTTCTATCCATTCCTGACATTATCTTTTAGGTTCATCTATGTTGTCATTTATAATAATAATTCATTTTATTATTATATCCAACTTAATTCACCTTCCTACTGAATAACATCCCTCTAACTCCCTCTGAGCTCTCCCTTATTTCTATGCTATTACAGTAATACTGCTGGAACAACGGCGTTCAGGTTTGCTGGTGTGGACTCTCTAGGGCACATCTCCAGGAGTGAAACTGCTGGGTCACAAATACTGCTGGTGCAAATACTTAATTTCACACAATGAGACCAAACTGCTTTAAAAATGGTTGTAAACTCACTCCATGCTTTTAGGCTTATGGTGATCTGTATCTATATCAATACTTTTTAATATAAAATTCCTTAATTTTTGTCAATAGAGTAAGAATAAAATCCTATTTCGTGGCAAATTTAGATATAATATAGACTGTCAGCAGGTATGAGTAGTTTTCATTTAACAACTTCACCTTTTCCATTTCCCCACCTTTTCTCAAAGAACGAACAATTCTGAGCAACACAAAGAAAAAGTGTAGTAAAAAAAATAATGAAGACAGAGCCCTTAATTCCTCAATGACACTAACTTATTGCAAACCCTGTGCTTACTCTATCTACCATCTATCTATCTATCTATCTATCTATCTATCTATCTATCTATCATCTATCTATCTATTATCTATCATCTATCTATCTTAGATTTAGAGGTCAGAATTGAGATGGCTGCCATAAGGACATATATTAAACTATTTCAACAGAAAAAAAGAAACCAGACTTTTTCTGACAAAGGATCTGCTTGGGATGATTGTTTTGACAGTAAAAACTGGCTTTGCCCTGGCCAGTCTGGCTCAGTGGTTAGAGCGTCGGCTATGGACTAAAGGGTCCCAGGCTCTATTCCAGCCAAGGGGACGTACCTCGGTTGCAGGTTCAGTTCCCAGCCCCAGTCGGGGCTCAGGCGGGAGGCAACCAATAGATGGGTCTCTCTCACATGGATGTTTCTCTCCTCTCTCTCTCTTCCCCTCCCTTCCACTCTCTCTGAAAAGCAATGGAAAAAATATCCTCGGGTGCAGATTAAAAAAACAAAAAACAAACAAACAAAAAACTGGCTTTACTAATTAGGTTTTATGGCAGGTAAATTCCATAAATTGAGTGAGCTAAATTCTGACCCAAGAATTTTGGTTTTGATTGTTTTAAAGAATTTATTGTTTAGAGCAGTTCCAGGTTGACAGTAAAATTGAGAGCAAGGTAGAGAGATATCTCATGCACCCCCTGCCCCCACTTATACACAGCCCTCCCCATTACCAGCATTCCCACCAGAGTGGCGTATCTGTTACAACTCATGAGCCTACATTGACATATGTCATCCAAAGCCCATAGTTGAGTATAGGATCCAGTCTTAGTGTTGTACATTCCATGGGTTTGGACAAATGTTATAATGACATAAATCCACCATTAATGGCCCTAAAAATCCCCTGTTCTCCACCAATTCATCCCTCTTCCCCTAAACCCTGGCGACCAAAGCCCTTTTTACTGTCTCCATAGTTTTGCCTTTTCCAGAATTCCATATAGTTGGATTCATACAGTAGGTAGCCTTTCAGACTGACATTTCTGCCCCAAGCTTTTGATGGGACACACACACAGAGCACATGATAAAAACAATTGATCAAACGCAGTATACCTGCAAAGGTAATTTGAATCCACCGTTTTGTTTTCTTACCCTGTGCACGTCATGTTAAATAAGGTATCTTTACATCAAAAAGTAACAGCTATAACTACTAGGTTTTTGGGTCTTTCTAGCCTTAACAATGTCTTTATGATTTACTTTCCAAAACACTGAGAGAAAGTGACTTGAATGAGAGGATAATGAATTGTTTTTCAGGTAAGGCAGTTCCTGATGTTTTGCTTTTATAATAACTAAACAAGGACACGGCTGAGTTGTCACGTGACAGATTGTTACAGGTGACTTTTGATGATGAATCACTATAAAATTTTGGTTCACTGAACTGAATGATTTTTCTTAGCAACAAAATTATTTATGTGAACAAAGAATGCAACTTACCCTGCAACTTATCTCTATCAATAAATAATATTTATCATGGATATATGATATAACTGAAAAAAGAGCAGCTGCATCCACTTCTTTTATAAGCCATTTCCAGTAATATCTTACTTTTTATATTGATTTTAGCAAAAATTATGCTGCTTTGAACATTTGTATACCAGAAATTATTATAATGATTCTGAAAAAAAATCAATAAAAAAATTCAATGACTGTATCACAGAAAACAAAAAAATTTTAAAAATTAAATAAAAATTCAATTAAGATTTATATTTTATTACAAAGAGGTAAGATAGAATAATTGATCAAATATATATTTTAATCACGTTATATTCCATAGGGTAAATTAATTGGAAATAAAATTCAAAGAGAAAAATAAAATGGTGTAAAATTCTCTATTATTATAAAGTTTACATGTAGTTTTTAATTAGATGATATTACATACCTAATCACTGTATACCTGCTTTTATTTGATACACTAAAAATTGACATAAAAGTGTCATTTCAAAATATAAATATATGAAATATGCTATAAAATAGCCTCTTATAGAGCTATTTAAACTTAATAACTTTTGGAACTTTAAAATGTGATATATTTTTTACAGTGTGTTTAGTGGAGCACCTGAGTAGAAATGTTTGCTGAACTAGAGGACGTGCGTGAATCTGCATTTGTAAAGCAAACACAGTTTCCACTTTGATTTCATGTTTACGGGGTAACGGGTCCTGGGGTGAGTGACGGAGGCTATGGGGTGGCCTCTTTGGTTCTGTCTCCATGATGTTATTTCACACATTTCCAGGTCTGCTGCTTACAATGCAGGGACCTCAGAATGGCAGCCTGAATATTTAAGTTAAAATAAAGAAAAAGCAGTAACATGAAACCGCTGTCATTTATTGCGTCCCTACTCATTCAGCACCTATTCCTGCTCTAGGAAGCAGGTCCCGAGACTTGCTAGCAGATGAGGGCGGAGGTGTAGAGATGTTAGACAGCCTCACAGACGGGGCCTGCTACACAGCGGGCAAAACCAACGCTGCAGCACCCACAGCCTCAGCTTTATCTTAAAACAGCATAACTGTCCCTAAAATATATGTTCTTCATCAAACCAAATGAAATTATATTTTAGTGGAAACCATACTGAATCAACTGGCAATAGGGGCACGTGTGTGTTCACCACAAACACACGCAGGGAAAAGAACACGTTTTATAACGCACTCCCAGATATTTTCTGAGCTTCGTTTCCTGTCTGTCCACGTGACAGACCCTTGTCACACCACAGACTTGATGTCTCGCTTTGTGTACACGGCACGTTTATATCCTGAGTCTGAACATTGCAGCCAGTGGGAGCAGCAGGCCCAGGGCTCCCCGTGAGCTGTGGGGTGCTCTGAGGCAGCGAGCGGACCCCTGAATATTGTGAGACGCTCCACTTACTTCTTGGGTAGCTTCATCTTCTTCACCTTCTCCTCAGCATGGTCGTCTAATATGCCCACGTGACATCCTAACGCCAACAACGTCCTGGAAAGCAAAGCCAGAGCTAAGCACAGTTCCCCCCAAGTCCCAGTGACCCAGCCCGTCAGGAGGTGGAAACAGGGTAACAGTCCACAAGGTAGCAGAGCAAAAGTCTTTCATGGTTTTTAAAGAACACCTAGTTACTGACAAATTATCTACTTTGAGTAGAGTAAGAGTAGACATTGAAAAGGCACAAAAAAGAATATACTGAAAAGTCCCCCTCGGTTTCACCCCAGCCCCCTTTCTCCCCCTAAAAGCACCGACTGCTCCCGATTCTCCTACGTCCTGCCAGAGCGTGTGCATATCACTAGGCAGATGTGTGTGTGAGCACACGCGCGTGTGTGCATGCGGTATACACAAGAGACAGTTCTCTGCAATTTGTTATTTTGACTTTACAATATCACTTTGAAATCCTGTCCTTTCATATAAAGCCGGTTTATTTTCCAACAGCTTTGAAGGGTTGCACTAGCTGCATGTGTCCCAACGCTTTTACCCAGAGCTCTGCTTGCAGCCTTTGCTGACTACAAACAGTGCTGCCAAGAGCAGCCCTGTGCCTGTAACACACGCACTGTGCCCTTCGTCTATAGGATCAATCCCTAGATGGGCCAAGATTGGAAAATGCCGATAGAGATGGTGACCATTTCAATCCCGCCAGCGAAGTATGACGCTGCCTCCCCCACTTTCCAAAACAGTCATCAAGCTGGGTGACCTCTGTTAGCCAGAGGCTGAAGGAGGCGCCTCACTGCAGTTTTAATTTGCACTTTTCTTACTATACGTGCATTTCAGCTCCTATTTCATACGCTTCAGAGACACTTGTGCTTCCTCTTTGCTGTGAGAGTATTTTTTGTTCACTTCTCTATGGGATTTGTTGTCACTGCTGCACTCTAGGTGCCTTTCAAACATCTGAGGCATGAGTCGCAAATATTTTTCTCCAGTTTGCTGCTTGTCTGTTTACAATTTTAGGGGGAACAACAGAAGCTTAGGCCTGGTAGCTCCTTACTCTTAACAAAACTGACACATGAGCAGGACAACAGTGCTGTTTCCTACGTAACATAAGCCTGTATTAGGAAAAGTGACCTATCCGAACAAATCCAGTTCTGTAGGCCATGAGGACGGACAGGAACAGGAGAAATGTTATAGTCTTCCCCAAATATGTTCTGAGCTTTTCTATACTAATATTTAAAATTATTTCCCTTTCTTTACTGCATGCGACCTCTTTCTCTCATCTTTGATGCTAGTGGGAAACTTCATGAGAGCAGACGACATATACCCACAGTGGTTTTTCTCAAAGTGTTCCTCAGACAAATGGTCCCCAGGGCATCTCTGAACAAGAGGATGCTTCAGTTAAATAAGTTTGGAAATGAATGGATTCCACCCCCTCTGAGAGAGTCACAGAACCAAAAGTCCATCAGAAAAATAAAACCTTTTTAATTATTTTAACTCAGCATCTCTTGAATAAATGAGATTAGTGCTTCTCAAACTATCTGTAATGAAGGACTAGTTTTATTTTAATTTCCAGTCCATCGTGGTCTCTGATAAAACACCGCAAAATTGTTAAAGAAAATTAAACTTTCAAAATGAATAAGCCTTCATTTTGAAATGCAAACCTACATTTTATAAATTATTAGATTCAACATAAAGTTGCTCCCTTAAATTGGTATAAATATTTCTAAACACTGTTTTAACATCTTTACTTATGTTATCTCAAATCAGTAACAATCTGTGACTGGCCTGGTCCCTGGCCAGCAGCAGTTTATGGGGTCACAGACCTCACACTTTAGGAAACGCTTAGAGCATAAGGACGCATAATAAGGTCCAAGTCTATTCCCATCAATGCTGATCCAATCCTCCTGCACACAAAGAACAGTCCCAGCCGGAATTAATGCCGCAGCCGAACCCTCTCAGGTGGAGGGCGTGGAAGAAGTTGGGAAACTCACTTCAGGGTCTCAAGCGACATCTGCAAATTGTAGTTGCGCTCCTGCTCCGGCAGCTTGGAGAACTCCACCAGGCACGGGTGCTGCCTCTTGTTGTCGTCTCGGACCTAAAGCAGGAAGGAAATCAGCCTGAACAGCCTCCCAGGCCAGTCCCCGTCACGCCACGGGAGTCCAGGGGAAAGCAGGATGGACGCCCAGATCCTTACCAACTCTAGTGACCATTTACTTTTAATGTGTAATAATGTTTAACTGTTTAGAGCCAAACTGGTTAGAGACTCGCTTATCAACCTGCCTGATACAAAGCCTTGGAGGTGGCCCCAGCTCTTCGTGTCACCTGCAGACATTCCTTCCCGCTGTCAGGAGTCAGTCCACCACCGTACAACGTCGATTAGCATAATGCAGGGTTTTTCATACTAACACTTGAAAGTGTATATTAGGAACCAGACTAAACGAAATTCAAGATTGTAGGGATGAATTAGTGAGAAAGCTGGCCTGGATCACTGCACTAGTAATCAAATATGTACATTTTTAGAGACCTAAGTTACACAGGCCTGGCTCCAGTGGCAGCTCCTGGATGCCAGACGTGCTGTCAGGGGACACACTGCTCCTGGGAACACTCACCAGGCACTACAGATACCACTCAAAAGCATGCGAGCACGGCCAGCTTGTTAGTCTTCAGGAGTCACCAAGTTAAAGATAAGATTCATTCTTTTGTTTCTGGTGACCATTACAAATGACCATCTGTCTCTCCATCCCCAGGGCCAGGCACTCCCACCTGTCACCTGGGCGATGTTCACCTCACCCTGAGCCTCTGCCCCCTCCAGGCTCACTGTCCCCACACCCACAGCTGAGTTCCTTCCAATGCACAGATGAAGCATGCCCCCCTCCACTTTTCAATGCTCTTTCCCCTCCACAGGATAAACCCTGTCCTGCCATAAGCCCTCTGTCTACCTGGCCAGACTTCCCACCTGTGATGCTCTGCGCATAAGCACCTTCTTTGCCTCCAGCAATGCCAAACTACTGAGAGTCATTGCAGTGCCCTAAGCTCCACAGGTCACATAGCAGGTCCTGGCCCAGAACACTCACCTGCCCCCTGACTGTGAGTCCACTGGTGACTGGTCCTTCCAGCCTCATAGCAAAGACTTACCTCCTCCTGGGAGCCTTCTCTGATTTCCCAGGAGAGACCTAAGTATTCCCTCTCCACTCTGTCAGGGCCGCCGTTAAAGGACTCAGCTTGTGACTGCATGTCCATCACTCAACTAAACTGTAAGCTCCCAAAAGGCAAACTGTCTACAAGACGAGGCCAGGCAAACAGTAGGCATATAATAAATGTGAAAGGGACAGATGGATGCCTGACACGCCTGTCTGGTGCCTTCCATATGCTAGAGCTCTTGCTACACTCCTGTGGAGCAGGTCCCAGACTCTCAAAAACAAAACAGACACAAAATCCCAACTTACTCAGCTCACTGGGAGGCTTAAATCACTCCAAAGTAAAACACACTTGAGTACTTCTTTTAAAATATCAAACAATTTTTCGTATTAGCCTAAAAACTGGGCATACCTAAGCTTAGAGCAACAGAAGCCCCAAGGGCAGGGCTCCCACCCCTTCTCTGGAAGGAGTTTTTGGGAAGCCTGTGAGGACGCAGGGCAGTTGTCAGATGTGGAAGGAGGTGGGATCTCTCCACGGGTGAACCTGAGAGGCTCCCAACCATAGGGTCTTCCAACCTGAGCTGGGCCTGTCCAGAAGGCCTACAGGACAATGCTGCATTTACTGGCCATCTGAGTACCTGCAGCAGGACAGCAGGGACCTAGTGTTCAGCCTCAGCCAGAGGCACAGGGACCAACCAAGGCTGTTCTGATCAGCCTCAGGCCAGGGAAGGGATGGGGGACAAGGTGGGAGGGACAAGGGGACCGGGTGGGAAGGAAGCTCTGATCCTGTGTCCCTCCCAGGATCAGAGACGCAGCTATAGCAGGAGGCACGAGCTGACCTGAACTTCCCTGGAAGAAGAGACCCTAATGGGAGCTTATGCTCCCCTTGTTTTCAAAGAACAAGCACAAGTCAAGTTCAGTGCAGAAGGTGGGGGAGGAGGCCTCCTGCAGAGACCATCTTCATGGCATAAGCTCAAGAGACCTTCCCATTGCTAGGAGGCTTTCTGAAAAGGGTTTTTATTTGTTTGCAGGGAATCGTAAGTCTTCCCGACGTGCAATCTTCTCTCCCTCATTGTGAAATGTAGGGTAAACTCTGTCTGCAATTCCTCTGGCAGTTAACTGTGTACCGTTATAGTATCTCTCCTTTACTGACTTTAACTGAAGGGTAAGCCTTTCATTTAGCATGCATACATTTCCCCAATTTTTAAAAGTCCATGAATGTAGCAGAAAACTAGGCACTTAAGTATCTGCTGAGTTGACAATCGTCTAACCATTACTGACTTAATAGAAGGACCCCAGTTTCTGATCATGTCTCAGTAGGTCTTACAGAGAAACCAGTTCTAAACAGAAGCTGGAGGACCTGGACCCAGTCCTGGCCTGGCCCCTGCCAGCTCTAACTGCTGCCGGGCATCCAGCTCTGTGATAATTCTTAGCTGTGGGCACCAAACACGGCTGGGCGCTGCTGTGAAAACCTAACCTCATGCCTGCAAGTGAGAGCATGCAAGACAAGGCAGAGCTTGGACTCCACACATAAAGCCTACCAAGGAGAGTGGAGTCTCCTATACTAATGTCTCCCTGGCACTAATAATAAATGGTCTTTACTCAGCACTCAGTGCAACAAACTGACTGAATGAATGCCCTCATTTCTACATTCAGTCAGATATAAGAACATGTCACAGCCCTCGGACACACAGACAATGATGTCACAGAAATGAATGCACTGCCATGTCCTACGAAAAACAGGTCCAGATGCCCTGGGATTAAACAGGAAACTGGCTGTTTTTATTTCATCTAAATTTCATTGACACACTCCAAACTGCATTCCTTAAAATTAATCATTTGCAAACACAAGGAGTCACTCTTTCACAGCCTGTCTCCTACTTGTGAAATCAGCGGTGCCCCCTGGCTAAAGATGTGCTCACTCCATACCATGGGGACCGAGAAGTATCCTCGAGGGGAACGTGAACTGACTTTCTTTCCACGGGCAGTTTTCACTTCCAACGTCTGAGTTTCTTCTAAGAACCTTAGAAAGCAACGCCCACTGTCTGCCTGTGTTAACCTCGACTTAAAATGTAACTTCTGCTTAGAGATGGATAACTGTTCAATGGTCAAGCAACTGAGCCATCCTCCCGTGAACCTGCCAATCATGGTGTTCCTTCCCACTAAGGAAAACTGCACCAAGCTGACTTGTAGGAAGAAAATCAGTCCAATTCATTCCCATCACCACACAGCAAGATGAGCGAGAAAAAGCTGTGTTTTCAGAAAGTTGCACTAACCGCATCGGAAAATAAATTTAAAACTATGTACCGGGCCATACTGCCAGCCAAGTTCGATTTTATTCATAACCCAGAGCTCATGGATGTTCTCTGCGAGCTTTTCTCTTATCCTGTCCAGGTGGGGCGGCAGCACGATCTAAAATTGGAGAAAACGAAAAGCAAACACACATCAGAAAAAATACAACGAACAGCACTAACTGTCCTCACTGCAACTGGACTAAATAAAACTGTCTCACAAACCACTAAGATGTAACAAGAGGTCCTAAGCCATCTATTATAACCTAGTTATAAAAATATGATGTCATCTACACATTCTTTAGGTAAATTTTGGGATTTTTGGGGGAGGTGGCAACTTAGGTTCCAATTTATGAACCAAAGTAGGAATAAAGAGTTTGGTGGGGACAACCGCCATTAAGACAGACGCCTTCCTGGGTGGTGGGGCGCCCACCAGGGCATGTGCTATTGAAGAGAGAATCCAGCGGTCCCTACCCAGCCTGGCCCCCTCGCACACCAGATGAAGGCGTTTGGCCCTGGCTCTGAGCCGGTGAGTATCTGAGGCAGCGATCTAGTTTTCTCTCACCTCTGCTATTGTTAGTGGTTTCCAAACAGAACCACAAGGGGGAAAATCTTACATATTCCGATGATAAAGAGGAAATTCAATGACTTATACAAAGGACACCAAATGATTTTCAAGGTGAGGTGCTGTGTCGCCCAAAACTAGTCCCTCAACAAGCAGAGCGGCGACTGCCTACAGCGTGTGCAGAGGGGAAGGTTCCGCAGGGAGCAGCCTCACCACCTCCTCTCCCCAAGCAGGTCTCTCCCCAGGTCTCAGGAATCCTCACTGGGTTACCCTCACACCCAGCTGTCCTTCCAGGTCCACGTCCACCCTTATGCAGGGGTTCACTATAAATGTTGGTGGCCCTGCAGCAACACCACGCAAACTGAATTTTAGCCGTGAACAAAGCTTGTGAGTTGTTTTACTGCATAAAGTAAAAAGCCAGCATGGAGAGACAAAGACTATGGCTCGGAGATAAACACGTGGTCCTAGAAAGCTGGGCCTCTGAGGCCTGGTGTGAATTCTGCTTCCAACTTTACATGTAATGTCTTTGATCTTCAAGAACTAAGTTAACTGAATATCCAGCCAACCCCCTGAAGTTACTTCTCCATCGCAATAGAGCAAGATTTAATTCACTGTCAGTGTCAGGATTTTTTCACATCTATAAAACAGAAAGGCAAGAGTAATGGCTAACATTTCTCAGGTACTGTGCTAACGCGTTACTTGCTAACTTCATTAAACATACTCTCAGCACCCCAGTGGCAAGATGAGTGAGTCCCTCAAGGCCCCAGGGTAGCATCTGACCCCAAGCATTTTAAGTCTAGAGCCCATGATCTCAATCTCTACCCAAGATAAAGGTCAGTTAAGTCACTTCAAAACAGTAAGACTATCTAGATGGGAGAAGTAAAACTGCCGTCTGCCCATGTGAGAAGTGCTCTCTAAAGTCGGTGTCCGCTACCTGAGGCTGGGACTAGTTCTGTCACAGGAGCAGTGCAGGCTTAGGACCACCCATGACAATGAAACAGAGTGGCACAGAAAGCGGGTAAGCTGACATGGAAAAGGTAAGCACTATCTTAGGAAACTTGTTTCAATCATGCATATAAACCATGTTACTGAATAGCTGCATCCCCACGGGCTGCAGTCCAGAGCCTGACGCCCTGTGTATCACAATGACCGCAGTGCAGAGGTGCCACTGGCTGCTCCGGGTACCTGGGTGGTGTCCACGGGGACCGGCGTGAAGGCAGCCTGCGTCAGGGGCACCGTGGGGCCCAGGAGGTCCCGGGTGTACGTCCTTTCTTGTTTGTACTCTCGGCTGTGTTCCACTTTCAACTTTTCTTTTGGCAGCACAGCTTCAAAGCAAGGAGCATAGCCCAAGGGAGGAAGGAATTTAAACTCTCCATGTCTCCCCCCAAGCAGGAAGCGCACCCTGAAAAGGACAAGTCAGGTCAGTTATAACTCTGGGTGCACAGAAGATTCCTGATCAACACAACACAAGCAGTAAGTTATCAGTAAAAATTAACTTTATCAGAAGCCACATTTTTTCTAAGTACCATGGTGATGTTGGCACCTTACGGTCTAAGAGCTTCTAATCACAAAAGTGACATGACCAAGAGACAAAACCTGAGTGAAGTGTTAGCGGGACAGCAACAGTGTATCCCTCACTGGAGAAACAGCAGAAGCACAGGCTTCCTATTCCCGGGTGAGAAAACACCTGTCCCCAGAACTGGGCATTTAACGTCTCAGGTGCCCTGCAGATAATCATGCGAGAAAGAGCAGACATGGTCTGAACATCTATGCCCTTCACATCCAGGGCTGCAGGGGGTCACCGCCCAGTGTCCCACTTCCCAGTGAAATTTAGAGGGACTCAAATGACACTTCCATTTGCTGAAGAAAAAAGGCAGCCTATTTTTTATCTTCATCCAACAAAACCTTACTAAAATCTTTTCTATGTCATACTTATTTAAAGTAATTTCATCTGAGTCCCACCAAAACCCTTTTTGAAACATAGCTAAACACTACTGATTTCTTGGGCTATCAGCTTACAAAAATAAATTCAAATTTTCAACTTCTTTGTAATTCTTTTTCTAATTTGTGTTTTAGTTCCAGGCCAAGAAATAAAGTAAAATAAATTAAAAGCAAAAAGCGAGGGAAGCAAAAGCTTTAAAACATTCCAGGAGCTTATATAAAGCAATATAATTTGTATAAACACACGAAAAAGGTCATTGGCACATGGGTAGCTGATCTTTCACGCTCGCTCTGTCCCCTCAATACGGTGCTTCTGTAACTAGGAATTAGTCCTCTGAGTAGAATTGCAACGAAAAGAATGACCAGAATAGGTGGAGGGTCAGTTGTGGTAAGTGGCCGCTCCTGTTACGTAGATACAGATAAGTATTAGTAGATGACTCAGGACTCCCTTGCCACAGCAGACCATTGCCTACAAAAGTTCCCTTTGCAGAACTCAAAAGAATTATCATTTAATTTCTCTATCGCTCTGGTAGTAGCAAAAAGCAAAGGGTTAGAGAAAACCACTGAGTCAGCTGATCACAGGCAGGTGCTTTACAGGTGTAAGCAGTTGAGGTTAACACTGAGGGGAGCCATCCTGATCAAAAATAGCAGATTTAGTTTCTGTAGAAATGACAGGTTTTGGAGTCTGGTGTGGAAATATGACAAAAAGATAAAGAAAGTCAATGAAACTAAATAGAAGGAAATATGGGGTATTTTTTCATACAATGTTGTTCACTTCCCTTATTAAGTAAAAAAATGAACTTAAGTGGGCTTGAAATATTTCAGGACACGGGTTTGGGAGAGTTAGCGGATGGACATGTGGCCGAAGCCCCCAGCCCCCCGAGATTCCCCTCTGGGATGAATCTTGCCCCTTCCTGTAAGAACAGGCGGATGCCCTGGGGACAGAAAGCCCGGAGTGACAGAGGACAAGGAAGCAGGTGATGGCCGAGCAGTGTCCTGTGGAAGTATACGCATGAAGGGCACAGACCCAGAATGCAGACATACTCACTTTATTCCCGCAGAGAAACTGACAACGGGAAAGAAGAGGCCGTCGATGTTGAAATTCTCGAACATCCCCTGGACAGGCTGTCCGTTAATTCGGAAAGAGATGCTTGGGGCGCTCAGATCTAAACAGCAGCTGATGACGTCCTCAGTCCTCAGCAGGTGCTGGTTTGGGGAGCTGACAGTGCTGGCGATGCACCCTGTGGGGCAGGCAGGTGGGAAGCGTGTTTATCTCAGAGAATCCCGGGCAGCGACGTGCCCGTGCAGTGCGCAGCCCTGGAACAGAGTGGAGCTGGAGTGCACGTAGCATTATGTCAAATCCTTTGTCGAAGGAGGCGGCTTCTTCTCAGAAGCCATGCTCTGCCATAAAACGGCCTCTATATAATCAATAGCTAAACTTTTAAATGGCGCCAACCAAAATACACCTTTTCAGAAATTAGAGAAAAGAGTATTATTTACATATGTATATATGACTCATTTTAAAAATATACTCAGCCAGCAGAGCTGAGAGCTGGTGGCTGGAGAAACGAACTGTACACTTCTTTTTAAACAGCCCACATTTTTGAAACAACATTTAGTTTCATGTGACAATAAGCTGCTTTGTCACAATACAGGTTACAAATCACAGGCCCCTGAGGTTAAATTATCTGCCAGGAGATGAACTCAGCCTTTTTTCTCCCATCATTTCCCAGGGCCTGTGGTTCTTTTCATACGGGAAGCGAAGGCTTCAACATACCAATTAAAGTAGGTAGGAAACAAATACGTTTTTTGCAGATGATTCATGAATCAAAATGCCACTTTTAAAATATATAAGTCCCCCTTTATCTAAAATTTTGCTTTCCATGGTTTCATTTAAAACCAGTTAACCAGGGTCTGAAAATAATAAATGGAGAATTCCAGAAAGAAACAATTGTAAGTTTTAAACTGTGAGCTACTCTGAGTACCTTGATAAAATATAATATATATAGGGGTTCGGTACTATTCGCAGTTTCAGGCATCCACTGGGGCCGTGAAACACAGCCCTGGTGGATAAGCGGGGATGCCTGTACGTTGTTCATAAGCAATACAGTCCTTTGAAATGTACTGTAAGCGTAAGTTTTCTTTTTCCCCTAGTGAAAGTTTGCTCTTAACACTCTCATTCATCACTTTAGTGCTAAAGTCCTGAGTAATAAATGTACTCAGTAGAAGCTGCACCAAGTTCAGCAGGGGCAAAGGTTTCCTTCCACAATGGTGCAAGGGCAAATGGCCAGCACTCACCTGCCCAGAGGTGCAGACCATCGAATCCGTAAGAAAAGAGGTCGTCTCCAACGCCGTTCCCGCCCCACTCCTCGCCCCCACCAGGGTAGGGCGAGTACCCTTCTGTGGACGCCCAGCCCACGCGCAGGTGAGTCGCCTCCGCGGTCACGAAGGGCTCGGCGTGGTCCACCATCAGTTCGTAGTACCACTTCTTATACTGGGCAGACCCTTCACTGACGCCCAGGAAAATATTGGGTCTCATGCTTTAAAGAGAGAGAAATGCGCATGAGAAAGCCGGAACGAACTTTCCACTGTTTAAATTGACATCTCACTATTCTGAGCGTTAGTCCTGCTCTTCCAAGATATAAATACATGTTTCCTTAAGTCTTAACATCACTAAGACAATCACGAGGCAGCACACAGCAACAGCAGCCCCATAGCTACCACTCAGAGAGGGGCGTTTGCTTCCCGAAGCCCTGGCAGGGTCACTCCAGGGGCTAAAACTATTTCTTCTCAATTGCTCTCCAGCATATTTCATTTCATTAACCATGTTTAACATGAGATACTCAGTAGTAGACCTTCAGATCAGTGGAGCTGTTATTAATCCAGGACATGGAGAGGTCTTTAATTTATCTTTATTGTTGAAAGTATTAGAGATGTCCCCTATTTTCCCCCTGGAGACACCTTCCTAAGCTAAGCTGTGTCAAGGGGGGTGAGGCTGGCGCAGGCGGTGTTGTTAGTGAAGGAACAAGGTGACTGACCGGCTTTGCTGTTCTCTAGGCCTCACTGCGAACAGAGGAACAGCTAGTTAGTTGTACTTAACAGCATTTCATACAGGGACCTGTGCCCTATGTGAACACCAGGGATCAGGGGAGGTCTCAGGAAACCCCCCTCATTAACGTAGGTCTGTTCTACAGAGAGCCAGGAAGGCTGTCTTAAATCAGCCCTGTTTAAAAACACAACATAAAAATAAACACCAAATCCCCATATTTCTGCTTAGAACTGAAATGATATTTCCTGGACAGCTGCAGGTAACATCTTCTTAACCATTAGCTGTATTTTTATCATCATTACTGTTATTATTCTGCATAAGGACGGCAGCCTGGCAAGCTCAGTCTCTGGACTGAGTCCTGAGGCCACGGCCAGTTCCCATGTTTTAATCTATGAAATGTGATACCAGCACCTAGAATGCAGACAGGAAGGAGCCCAGGTGAAAGGGCTCAACACAGCGGCTGGCGCCCAGGACCCAACGTTTGATACCTCAGAAGGTAGATCTACCTGCAAATGTGGTTTTATTGGTGATTTGTGGAATTTACTTTATTTGGGACACTCTAATTCAATATTTTGATTATACATGGTGAGCACTTCAAAGTCAGAACTGAAAGGCAGTGTTTTCTATTATATCTGAAGATGGGGACAGGATTCTATCCAGCTATTTCCTGCATGGCTGTCAGCCTGCTCCCGAGTCAGCGAAAACCCAGTGACACAACCGGACGGAAAGCTCCGGTGCACTCCCTGTGATAATGCGGATTTTGCTTGGATCATCCATTCTTGCTATATCATGATTGGTAGAAAAAATCTTATTCTATCAACTAGGGAAATAAATTTTAACAACCCTAGTAAAGACCACTACCCGCAGTCTCTGCCAGAGAGCCAGCGTGTGACTCCCCTGGCTAGGCCTCCAGTGTGGTGACACAGTGACCACCCGGAGTCTTGGCCACCTAGCCAGCATCTGGTGACACTGTACCTGAACCCACCTGCTGACGTGGTTCACCAGGCGCGTCTGCAGGAGCAAGTCCCTTCCTGGCAGAAGGTTGTCACAGATGAGATGCTGGTTGGAACGGACTGCCACCCCGTGGCAGACGCAGAGAGAACACAGGACGTCCAGGACCTGGGCAGGGAAGTCGCAGTCAGCTGGCTCCAGTCCCTTTCAGACCCAAGTGCCAGCGGCACGTGGCACAGACACACACATGTCCGTGCAACATGGTACTGTGGCCACTCATTTAACTGTCCTCCAGAGAGACTGAGGACGCTGGTCCTCCCACTGACGCCGGGAATGAACACTGAGGTATTACCTGATTATCATGAAACATCAGACTCACCTTTCAGAAGTTACCTTATTTTAAAACTATACTTAAATTCCCCCAGAATTCACCACGGCAGTGCAGCGCCACGCACCTTGTGGTTCCGCCCGTGCTTGTCGAGAAGGGAAATGATGGACCTGACGTGCCCTTCTTTGATGATGTTTAGAGCTTCCGGGCTTTCCACCAGCACACAGTGCAGAACCTCAAGAATACCTGGTAGGAGAGAGAGAGAAAACACACAACTGGCTTCTCTGCACCGACCAGCATCTTCCCTTTTCTCTCTCCGTTCTTTCTGTTTGACGTACAGGGTGGGAGAAGCAGGCTTACGGCAGGGGGCGGTGAGAGCATATCCCTGCATTACTGTTTATCAACTACTGTATCATTTCCCATGTGAATGACTGTAACCCCCCTTTTGCCCTCCCTATAACTGTGTGCTCAGTGGGCCACCAGGCACTCTGACAGGGGACAGGTGGTATTGGGAGGGGAGCTGGTAACCAGAGACACTAAAATCGCAGTCTCGTGAGGAAACATCAGCCCAGCGAGGAAAAGGCAAAGCAGGGCTCAGGGCAGGAAGAGGGGAGTCCTGCGGGACTGAGCACCCAGGTGGTCAGGACATGCTCACGACCCTTTTCCGGAAGAGAAAGGATGGTACAGGGAGAGTGGGGTCTTGAAAGGAGGGCATACCTGCTGTTCTCTGTATCTACGAGTTGGATGGTATTTTGGTTATTTTTTTTAGATTCCACATATATGCGGGATGGCATCTTGACCTTGGAATCATGCTGACTACAGTTAATAATACTCTTATATTTGAAAGTTTCTAAGAGAGTAGATCTTAAAATTTCTCATCACGAGAGAACAAATTTGTAACCATGTGGTGACCATTTCACAACAGATACAAGTAGCAAGTCATTATGCTGCACACCTGATATGAACTATAATGTCCTGTCAACTGTATCTCAATTCTAAAAAGAAATGAGAATGGGAACATAAAGATAAAAAGGTAATTCATATAATTAAAAGATTATTTTGCTTCAATTTATGCAATTAAGTTCTTAAACCTAAAAAGAAGAAACATTTTTAGAAAGAACCATAACAAAACAGGACACAACACCTGTTTCCATTTATTCTGCATTAGTACTACAGGAGGGCAGCTAATGAGCCACACAAACAGTGGAGGAGCAGGAGGCTCGCTGCGGGCTGCGGCGAGGCCACCGCTGGTGCTGGGGCGTTCGGGCCGGCCCAGGAATCAGCTGGAAGTCTCCACAACACCAAACAGAATTAATGTGCCTGCCAGAGGCAGGAGTGTCAGGTTCACTGCCTGTGACTATCTTACTATGACACAGACTGTTTATTTATTAAATCCCTTTAAAATAAAATCCTATGCTATACGATTTAGAAAACTAACTTCTAACCCTTTCAAAATAATCATTTGACACAGTTAAAAATGGGAATTGCAGACCAACCCTCTTGTTGGTACAGAGGAGAACTTGATTTGGGGGTGAGGGGAACCTGGCTCTGGGGGGCTGCAGGACTCACTTTCTGCAAATGCAAATGAACAAGATAGAGTGGGTAAAATATCTAGCCTACCAGAAGGAAAACATTTATATCACACTGAACCTCGGAGTGTTTTCACGTCTTAAGGACGTAAACTCTAAGACTCTTATCACATACAAGGAAATAACTGGGAAACATACCAGAAGAGGCTTCCAGCCGCTCCAGTCGGCTGACCAGCCAGTCGAGGGAGCCAGAAAACTGGGCGCAGTTTTTACGATTTCCTCTAATTAGAGCGGCTGTGAAAGAAGAGGCACAATTCACATTTATGTGATTTTCTAGTTCCAAATGTGTATGCTAATAGCAGCACTAAAGTGTTGGCTCAAGAACAAAATACCTGTGCTTTAGATCTAAAACAATACAAATACACACACAATGGAGATGCTGCAAAAAGAATGCAGAGGTACGGGCAGGGAAGGAGTCCTCACTGCTCATTTGAAGGGATGATTCTGAGGCAGTAACACTCACATTGGGAGCTGAAAATGAAGAATTATGGAGAAACCAGTGTCCTGGGAGTTCCCTCACTTGGGATCTAATACTCATTGCTTTTAATTAGCCATGAGACTAAATTATTGAGTTTCTCTAGAGCTCAGTTTTCTCAGCCACATAATGAGGAAGTTAAGAGCACATCAGTTTTCCTGAAAATGTAGCAGCCAATGTGCAGACCCCTAGGAACTGCAGCGGGCGTGCAGAGACGGGGCTCACCGTGCAGGGATCGGGTGGGAGGCCCCTGGGCAATGAGTCTGAAAACCTTTCTCTTGTGTCTCTCCTTCCCTTTCGGAGGTTCACATGCAGTTCAGGGGCTCCGAGAACTCCTGCAGCCAAGCCACCTATTCTAACTTTGCTTAACCTCGTGGTCTCTGTACTCCTTGACAAAGAACCCACCTTCCGTGAAATTGCTGTGACCTTTCTGATCTCTTTCAGCCCAATCTGTATACTCAGTGGAAAACTTTCAATGTTTCAAAATCATTCAATCCTTTCCAAATAACTCTGGCAAATATTTCATGTAAATTATACTCTTACACCCATATGATCTCTCAGAAATAGTGTCAATTTCCAATGGGTGGTGAGTCTTAAAAAAATAATAATGGAAGAATAAACCCTTTTAATAAATCACGGGGCATTTAAGAGAGAAGAGCACAGTGAGCCACAGAGAAAACTTCATTAAACACTGCAAACAGAAACGGCATAGGCATGTTCCCTGGCAACTATGTAATGAAACTAGAAATTAGCAGGAAAGGCAGAAACAAATATAAAACCAAAGCACTTAAAATTTAAACTCTCTCCTAAATAATTTTTGAGTCAATAGGGAATACTGCAATCACAGGATGTCTAATAAATACTGAAAATAGGAATGCTACCTAAAACACCAGTGATGGATAGTCAAACTGTACTCAGGGAAAAATGAACTAAATGCTTCCACTGCTAAACAACAGGATGAGAAATGTTAACCAAACATTCCTTTCAAAATCCAGTTCTAGAAAGTCTCCCATCTCGAACAATTCAGTTCTCGCCCAAGTTGTGCAGGGGAAAAGATGTCTCTGTTTTCTAACAGAGCGTCAGTCCTCCACCTGACAACCCTTTCCAGCTGATACATCAGCATCACAAAAAGCATCTCTCAGGCCACACACAAAGGAGCGAGGAGGAGTCAGTTCAGCGCTAAACCTCTCCTTGTTAACATCTCAGGAAACTGCGCTGTGAATACCGTCGTGTGTTTTTGCTTTTGTTGCTGGTGAAATGGATGGTCAGCACAATTTAAAAAGTTAAAGAGACATCACGTGTGCTGATGTTGCTAAGGGTGTGAGGTGCTCAGGAAACAATGAACACAGGCAACTGAGGAGGTGGAAACATTGTTGCTGATTTGGATAAAGGAAAAGCAGTTAGCCAGGGGCAGCATTTCAGAGGCAGTGATACATGAAAAAGCCAAGATGCTGCACCCTGGCTTCTGAAAGACACCCTGGAACAAGTGCTGAAAGTCATTCATATAAGGCCAGTGGGGGGAGGGGAGGAGGCGATAAGTTTAATAAATGTTTGTTTACAGATTAAACAATACATTACAGATGTACTGGTATAAGAAAGGTCAAAACGGAATCATTTAGGGATCTGAAACAGATTAATTCAATTTACATTATTTCTAATGGGATAAAATGGTTCAGTTTTTGAACAAATCATCTCAGGCAGCTTTAACAAACTGAGTTTGAGAACTGAGATTCCACTATATAGGAAAAAGAACATCAAATAAATAAATAAAAAATAAAAATAAATAGCAATAAAAGTAGAAATTAATGCATTAGAAACAGAAGTGATCTATGTAAACAAGAATGGGACTGATCCATAGAGTCAAGTACGTTTAAATATATAAGCTAAATACCAGCTACTTTAATCAGAATAAAAGAGAAAATGGACAAAGTTAAAAAGAAAAATAAATTAGAAGTACAGCCGCTATATATATCTCTGCGCTGGAATTTTTGAACACTTAGAAAAATGGTCTTCATATATTTTTTTTCACCAAAACTGATCAAAAGGAGAAAATTTAAAAATAATAATAAACCATGAATAATACTGAAAAGTATGTCAAACACTGAGCCCCTTTTTTCTATGTCTAAGAAATAGGTAATTTCTGCCCTGGCCAGAGTGGCTCAGTTGGCTGAGCTTCATCTCACGCACTGGTCGTGGGTTCCATTCCCAGGGTTAGGGCTCGATCCCGGTAGGGGGCGTGCAGCCAACGGCTGACCAATGCTTCACTCTCATATTGATGTTTCTCTCTCTCTCCCTCTTCTTTCCTCTCTTTCTAAAAACGAATTTAAAAAAATCTTTAAAAAAAAAGAAATGGTTAATTTCTGAACTGAACCCTCCAAAGTTAAAAAACTAAGGAGACCCCTACACTCTCTTTACCACATAGCCTGGCTGTGATATCAACGCCTAACAACTGGTGCATATAAGAAAAGCAGAGGGAACTCTTCCAACTGTAAATCCAAAAGCCTTTTTACAAGAATGGGACTTACAAATGCCATTTGGAAGTACGTTAGCAACATTAAGTCAAGTGAGGGCTCATTCCTCCAATGAGACAGAAATGTATTAGGAAATGTGTTAAAATCTCCATAAACTCTAAAATGTATATATTCCCAGCCCAAAAAAAAAAAAATTAACTCAGTAAAACAGAATTCCTACTGAAATTATGAATGCGTGTGTTCAGGCACAGGGTGCTTCAGTGAATTATTATAATTTAGCCAGTTAATTAAGAAGAAATCACTTAAGTGAGTTTCTAAAGTAACAGGAATGCAAAGAACTACAAGGAAGCTCGTGACTGTTTATAACAGCGCAACACGGGCAGCCGGAGTGTGGACAGGCGATAAGGGCACATCCCTGCAGCCGGGTGGTCACGTCCATCAAAGCTGACGGAGGGACCCGGCTCCTGCCGAGAGCTGCCCAGTGTAGACGGCAGTGCCCGCAGGCTCTGAACGAATGCCGCTAGACTATTCCACTCTGGGGACACAGTGTAAGTATACACATAGCACAGAGAAACTGCTTTTCAGAATATTTCTCAGAGCGTGCCAGCTGCCTTTTGAGGAAATAGATCCTGTTACGTGCCTGGGGTAGAAAGGAGACCTTGAGGACTGTCTT